TTTGGGGTTTAGGGATAGAATATGGGGTACATGGGATCTTATTATATACCCAAAGCCATATTCTATCTACTTAAGGGGGACTATAGCCATTTGAGGTTTGAGGGTTTGGGGACCAGGGGCCTAGGGCCCGGACCGAGGGCCTTGGGGTTGTGGGTTTACAGGGGGTTGCTTCAGGGTCACGGGTTTTGGGGTTTTGGGGTTTTGGGTATTGAGGTTTGCCACAGGCCGGCCTTGTGTTTCCAGGCTTATGCAGGGGTTGCAGGAATAATGAGGGTCTTTCTCAAACATGGTATACGCAATATTTTGAGAAGCTCCTGCTCGTCTCTGGAGTAGCTTTAGTAAAGTCTAGATTGGAGTTGAGGTTTGTTGAACAGCATGCTATGCACAGCCTGGTGCTTCCATTTTCAAGATTCATTCTCGCAACAAATGTGAGACAGGCACTGGGAAGACTAAGGTGTTCCTTTCCAAATGTCCAGGCGGTGACACCCCCGTTGCAAGTTCAACTGTGCCACTGCAGGCTTTGGTGCCTGGTACATGGGGCTTAGGGTTTCCCAAAATTAGGGGTACCTTTCAATGGGATATGGGGGTTTTATGGGGGTTGTATAGGGTTTGGGGTTTTGGGTTTCCGACATTTAAGGGTCCCTTTTCGGGGTCCCCCTTGTTTTATTTTGGAATCTACATTGGAGTCCCCTGCTTCATGGAAGCTACCGCATGGGAGCTTTCATCAGACACTCTCACTGTCATCTACAAATTCAGACTGTTTCATAGACAATCGAATCGAAATCAAAAGCCATAACAGTAATCCCCAGCTCACCAACAACAAGGAACTGCTTGTAGTAATCCCTTCCCCTAGTGATATGGAACCGTTTCTGTGCAAAATCCGGTGGGACGCAATCTCTAAACATCTCAAAAAAATTTGGATGTTCGCGATACCTGCAAATCATCGAAACTCACGGTGCTTCTGGCAGAATGCATTGCATTGCCTAGCATCTTAAGGACATTTTCTAAGCAAACAGCTGGGACGAATGCTGTCGGAGCATTAGAATCTCTGGGCTTCCGTCAGTCCTGTTACTTGGCTTCACAACGTTACCCCCCCCGCCTACCCCTCTGAATACATAGTCTTCCCGTAAGACAGTGGTCAACGGTACTATTCTGGGAACATTCGTCATTATGGGGGATCAGCTGTAGGCTGAAGGGTTGTCACTGTCCAGGAGCACACGGGTTCAATCCGCTCACAAGCGCTCCCAAGAAGCATTATTGAGGGGCCACTTCCAGATTCGAACTCCATAAGGATCTGCTATACAGGATTATTTCTTCGCTCAGAAGTACCTTCTGAGGACTTCCACAACCTTAATCCCTATATAATTTCGAACTATATGGTAGCTTCCCAAAACAAGGGCCAACATAGACCCCTCAAAAAGTGACATTGCGTATTAGTACGACCTCCATACCTTTCCGTAATTTTGGGAAACCCTAAAACCTAAAACCCATATCCCCCTATGGAACCCTGTAAGCCCCCTAAAAAGTACCCTGAGTTTTGGGAAACCCTTAACCGCTTCGAACCCAGAACCCTGAACTCTGAACCCTAAACCCTAAACCCTAAACCATGATTTCTGCTGGCTGTCGCATGGACATTTTGTCGCGACATGCCTTTCAGCCCCAAATTTCGGCTTTCTGTTTCCAACCACCAGCCTCGGCAGACGTAAAAGTCCTCTGGTGTTAAAAAAAACCCTAAACTGAAGCTAGAAGTGTTCGGCCTCACACTGGAAAGTGGTTGTGAGAGTTTCCTACCAAACCAGGGCTTCGGCAGGCGTAAAAGTCCGCTGGTTTCAAACAAAAAAAACTAAAGCTAAGGTATTTGCCCCTGTTCTCCAGTCTGGTGACGGTGGGCAGCGGGCCTGGCAACATGAGGTGATGGTTTCCACACATAGGGCGTTTAAGGGTTTAGGGGGTAGGGTGCAGGAGGGGCCTAATATACACTTACCAAAAAAGGGGTACCTTTTTAGGGGTCCCAATAATAAGGATTATAGTATTTTGGGGTCTATATTGGGGTCCCCCTATTTAGGGAAACTACCATATACACTTACTAAAAAAGGGCTCCCTTATTTTTGGAAACCCATAGGTGTCAGCCTGGCTTCTGTTCTAAGTCATGTTTGCAAGCCACATAAATCGTATAACCGATGCTTGATCCCGACGTTATCCCTAAATATCATCCTCATTGAACCCCTATTTAATCCCAGTGCAATCCCTACAATCAACAAAAGTGTTTACGGTAGAATTTACACTAGATTATCCTATAGCCCCTAATTTCGCTTTGCCAGATACAGCAGCAGAGCTGTTACACCTTCTGAGGCTGTGAAAAACGTGTCTTTGTGTGGTCGATTGACTCGACTGCCTATCGCGGGGCCGAAATCCCAGCTCTCATGCACTTAGCAACATGAAGCAGCCTCATTTTTTTTGGAAATCCGCAACCCTGTATCCGAGTTTCGGGTGTTGCTTAGGTTCGCGCGAAGCTCTCTGCGCACCAGTCCAACCTCTTGGAGGTCGTCATGACTGCATGCCTAGTGTCCAAGCCTGTCATGTTCATCAAAACAGTCGTTCCGTATTGAATGAAGGTCATGAAAACAAGAGTGATGCCACACAAAGCGCATCACACTGGAAATGATAGCAATGCTTGTTATGACTTGTTACAGCATTCAGTGAAAACAGAACCTTGGCTGCACGCCGTGTATGCTCGCCAGTACAATCGTCACATTTGCATCCCCGTATTCAATGGGTTGTTCTCGAAATTTCGGGCCCCTTTAGGTTATAGATTAAGTTTCGACACCTAATATTCAGGGATGTATACTCAGTGCACGTGGAGGGTTGATGGCCTGGTTGGGTTCATGCTGAACATATCGAACATGGAAGTTTCCAACACTTTTGGGGGACCCTTTATAATGGGATCCATACTTGCCCCTTTTTTCCCCCTTTGCATGCCCACTTGACAGCTGAAGTCCTTTCCTCTGTGGCAGGTCTCTGCTGGTCAAAGGGTCTTCGTGACCTTGGATGAGGCCACCAGCATCATGGGCATGGTGGTTTCTCAAATCGATGCCTTTCTAGTACTGAATGGGGGCCCTATATCAGCTTACCATCTGTTTGCCTGCATCCCCCCAGGTCCCTACCCTTCTGAGAAAAACCTTAGATCACGCCCAATTCATGTGTTGACCTTTGCTGCAACTACCATTGCGGTCTGAAATCTGACTTTGGCAGTGATTGCCAGTGCCGGTTGCGAAGCTGCCGCCATTTCATATTGCCACCATATGACGGCGGCCGCTGCTGGTACTAACACTTCCATTTTACCAGGTGATATCCCGGAGTTTCATCTACTTACTCTTGTGAATCACGTTGGTGCTTCGTAGTATGCCCAGCTTACGAGATGCTACAAGGCCTGCATCTTTATCCTCTGGGACGGTGCTACCTTAGCAGCGCTGCAGACGTGGCTCGGCTTCAATTGGGGTGACCTGAGAAGGTCACGCACACCATGGGGGGTTCTAATGGAAAAGAAAATGGAAACTATAGGGATTATGGGGTATATACTGGGGATATAATACATAGGGGTTATATGGGGATAATGGAAAAGAAAATGGATACTATACGGATTAATAGGGTATATACTGGGGGTATATTAGGGTTATATGGGGGTCATATGGGGATAATGGAAAAGAGAATGGAAACTATAGGGATTAATAGGGTATATATTGGGGTACAGTAGGGTTACATAGCAAGCATGAACGCTCAATGTGCAGTTCTGGGCTGCCTTCCAGCCCCACGCAACTCATGTTGTTTAGGACAAACTGCTTTACGCTGGCACCTCGCCACGTCGTGGTCATGCCTTCGCAGAGAGCCCAGACGGCATGAACAATTCAAGACTCAAAGTCAAAGCCGCATGCCTTATGATTTCATGTATCTTCTTCAATGGGGGATCACATTACAGTAGTTTCCATTTTCTTTTCCATTATCCCCTGTATTGGAGAATCAAATGGAAAAGAACATGGAAAATGAAATGGTAACTAGGCAAAGTATAGGGGTTATACTGAGGGATGAGAAAGATGCAGCTTTGACCGCCTGCCCCGCTCACACCATGGGGAGTTATGCTGGAAAAGAAAATGGAAACCATAAAGATTATGGGGTACATATTGGGGCATATTAAGGTTACATAGGGGTTATATGGGGAGAATGGGACACCCTAAACCCTAAACCCTAAACCCTAAGCCCTAAACCGAATGCTCTCCTAGGCTTGGGCGCATCTGCTTGGCAGGGCGGAGACTCAACTTTTTTGTCTTGGCCTCACGAAGAACAAACTTGTCTGCGCGCTGTTTGATAACGTGCAGCCTGTGCTTTGTTCATCCCCATATAGCCCCTATAGAACCCATATAACCCCAATATACCCCAATATGTACCCTACAATCCCTATAGTTTCCATGTTCTTTTCCATTATCCCCATATAACCCCCATATAGCGTTAATATACCCCAGTATATACCCTACAATCCCTATAGTTTCCATTTTCTTTTGCATTATCCCCATATAACCCCCATATAGCGTTAATATACCCCAATATATACCCTACAATCCCTATAGTTTCCATTTTCTTTTCCATTAGAACCCCCCATGGTGTGACCTTGCAGGAAGGCAACGAGCAGGGCTCCATTGCGCTTGGGGCTGCACCAACCAAGGACCATTGAGTTGTCGCCGTGGGTTTCATAGCCTTTTCCAAGCGTACATATATACATATATATATACATTATGCAGTGGTGGCTTGGGATATTGTACTGGGGGAAGTGCGCAGCTGAGTGGCTTTGCAGGAACAAGTTGCGATGGCAAAACGCCTGCTTCTCAGATTTGCTTCAACAGAATATACTGAGTTCTCAAACAGTGCCCTTACACACGCCCACCGGGCACGTAAGCTTTTACGGCAGATTTTTTGGGAGTATGACGTTTGCACAACACACGTGTTGCGACTGGATTGTTCATTTTTTTGGGTGATGAGGCGGTAGGGGCCTCGGCCCCGAATCCCATGCCCCAACAGCTTTGGCCTTCTGGAGTGGACAATAGCACGGCTAATGATTGCAGGTTGCCTCTGGCTTTCGATGATTTCAACCCGTGACCAAGACATGGGAGTCATGGGAGATCATGCTGCGGCTTCGCGATCACGCCAATCTTGATTAGCTGAAAAGGACGCCTGACGTCTGTACTTTTCTTTTCGGTTTCAGCCATAACGGGCAAGAACAGCACAGCCGCTTGCAATCTCCGGAACATGTACTACAGATTGTTTCCGACCTTCGATGCTTTCGTAACTATGCACCGAGCATGAGTGGTCGAGTTGCAGCTTTGTGACTAGGTCGTTATGAGAGGTTGGTAGGGTAACTCAAAGAGAAGCCTTCAACCTAACAGTAGGCATCGGAAAGATCCCTCAAGGTGCAAGCCCCTTAGCAATGCTTCTAAGCAGCGGTTGGAGGATTCAAGGCCTGCATCATGCTAGTCATAGGCGGGTAGATTGCTAACCTTGAACCAAGTGAGATCCCCATTTGAGCTATAGTGTAAACTCCTCTAAGGGGGGGGGGGGTTATGTAGGGGATTAAGTAGGGGAGTATTATAGGGGCTACAAAGGGGGATACTAGGAGTTTAGACTTTAGCTCATTTAGTCTGGTCTTGCTCTGAGGGCGTGAAGCTGAGGGTGCCAGCCTCAAGGACATTTCTTGCATGGGGAGAGCGGTCCGCTTTTTTGGGGAAGGTATACATGGGGGGTTTCCCCAACATTAGGGGTACCTGATTGGGGGTCCCCATAATGAGAACTAGGGTATTCTTGGGTCTGTATTGGGGTCCCCTAATTTTGGGAAACTACCATATCCACCCCATTAGGATTTAGTAGTTTCCATTACCCCTATATATCCCCAATATGACCCCCAGTATTTTGGGAAATTGCCACATGCGTGTGTTTGGGTTTGTGGCCTCAAGTTCATGGGGTTTGTGGTGTGACTGCCTTCCATGACCCCCCTCTACTGTCAGCTGTCTCCAGGACCGGGCAGCACCAAAATGGTGGGCTCCCCAGGACTTGGTGGCATGCTCGCGTGCATGACGTGCGTCGAACCTGACAGATCCTGCTCATTTGGGGATACAATGGTATCCAATATAGAGTAAGATTATATCCTCCTTTTGGGGTATAGTATCTTATACAAGGAATATTGTCTTACTAGGTTCAACCACCAAAAAAAACCACTACTCAGGTGTGGTTTGGGTCCGTCACGAGGCCATCCGCAACGGAACCAGCTGCGTGCAGTTTTCGCGTGTTCTGCCCTCCCTCCTTCAACCGCTTCCTTTGTGATCCATGGCCCACAACACGGCCCTAAACCCTAAACCCTAAACCCTTAAACCAACTTAAACCCTTAAACCCTAAACCCTAAACCCTAGGCCCTAAACCCTAAACCCTCACTCCGCCTGCAAGGCGTCCTCCTTTCAGCCACGGAAGCCGAGGCTAGAACCTGCAAAGCTGGACAACAAGGGATCAGATATGACTTCTATGATTAGTATAGGTCTAGGTTTAGGGTTCATATTTACTAGTATTCTAGTAAGAACACCTGTTATTGCTATTATTATTCATTGTGGATCATATATTACCGCTCTTGTTATAATGATAGTAAGTAATATAACTCTTATCCGATTATTACTATCATTATCATTATAGGCATCAAAAGAAATTATTGGTCAATTGTATTGTTACAATTAATATTTCTTTTGGATCAGATGTTCGAAGCTTGTTGTGGAAGGCAAACTCAAGCTTAGAAACGGGGCGCTCGCTGACGGCCCAACGGCTCAAGCTGCATTGGTCGTTTCCCTAAATAAGGAAACCCCAATATAGACCCCAAAGTGATATCATCCTTATTCTAGGGACCTGTACCGCTCATTGTGGGAAACCCTACACTCTAAACCTTCAATAGTAGCTTCCATTTTCTTTTCCATGATCCTCATATACCCCCTATATACCCCTTATAAAACCCTTTAAAGGTACACCTAATTTTGGGAAACCCCCATTGTTTAATCTTCGAGTGCGCTGGCCTGCCTTTGCCGGCCAGTGCAACCAATACTTTCTTAGCTATAATAGCAGTAATAGTAAAAGTACGAATAGTCATACCAATAGTAATAATAGTAGTAGTCAAAAATACCAGTAAGAATAGTTTCGCTGGCTTGCGGCTCCTGCCCCATTTTCCATCTGCAGGGCGTTAGCCGGCACCATGTTTTCGCAGCTCGCCAGCTGCCCCACAGAGCGCAATGCGCTCCGCACTCTGCTGCGGCTCTCCCGCGCCGCTGGGAAGCATCCGAGGTGCGACGTGAGAAAAGGATGACGGTCAATTAGCACCCTATTATATAATATAGTAGCTTCCATTTTCTTTTCCATTATCCCCATATTACCCCTATAAAACCCCAATATAACCACTATATAACCCACTATAGTAGTTTCCATCTTCTTTTCCATTATCCCCATATTACCCCTATATAGCCCCAATATATAATGATGGTGGTTTGCCTTTGGGAGTGCTGCAGGCGCCTGGCAGCGCTGCTGGGCCGAACGCCCCGGCTGTGGGATCCGCAGGTTGGAACTATATGTACTGGAGTCTAAACTCCTTA